AACACTTTTCACAAGTCTACCAACGCAACATGAAAGGGTAGACAAATTGGACTGTTCAGGAGTTTACTGTTTATCATGCGGCGCCTGCGAACAAAAATATATTGGCGAAACAGGGAGAAACATAAGGGGATCCGTTTTGTAGGCCCGAGTGGGATAAGCCCATCGAAAGAGAGAAGTCGGGGTAAATAGCAAGTGTGATGAGGCCTAACTCGGTTTGCCACAAAAGGGCACAAATTATGATGAACCAAATCAAAACAAGCTGTACCACAACATTTGTGTGTTGACACACAAGAGACTAGGGCATGGCAAATCCTAGACTTGGTATTAGGGATAGAAATAGGATAAAGACGGCGGGGACCAGAGCTAGTTGGTTGACAGTAGATCGGTCGGACGAGAGTCGTGGTACATATAGCGAACGGGGGACCATGACACTCAGAAGCTTAGGCCTCGAATTAGTCACCCAGACGCAGGGGGGGGGGCGAATAACGCCTCGAGTAGGACATATGTTTTGGCAGGAGTCGAGTAAAATAGGTGGACAAGGGGTAGGGCAGCCGGATTTTACGGAGCAAGGAGACTGGGATAAGACTAGGGAAGAGGACTGCATAATAATAAAGCAGACTGATCAACATTCCCTGCATAAAGATGAGGTGAGGGGGGCGAGAACGAGAGTTGGGGATTAAAAGTGTCATGTCGCTTAAAGGAGCACACCACACTAGCTAAATAAACACGGTAAAAATTGCAATAGGGCAGGCATAATAAGACGCTCCTGGAAACGCGGATAACCCAGGGCGGAAGGGGAGATACCATAACTGTTTGGCAGGGATATTAGGATGCTACCGGAACCGCGGATAACCCAGGGCGAAAGGGGAGATACCATATTTGTTTATAGTATCGCCATCCTAAGCACCACACAGCTACTCGTCAAAGAGGCGGAAGGGGAGATACCACAACTGTTTAACATACGTTTGGTCAAAGGATCGGCTTCACTTGTCTCTTTGACGAGTAGCTGTATGGTGCTTAGGATGGCGATACTCACTGATGCCGGCGAAACGTTTGGGAATGTTCCACGTCCACGGTTCAACTTTGGAAATGATCATGCAGACAATGGCCCGCGAAACGTTTGGGAATGTTCCACGTCCACGGTTCAACTTTGGAAATGATCATGCAGACAATGGACCCCGTACGAGGTGCGTTCCAATAAGTCTTCCTACCAATATGACCATATTGCGAAAACAAGGTCAAACAACCATTATACAACGAAAGGAGACTGCGACCACACAAAAGGCCACACCATCTTGGTCTTCATACCTTCGATTAAAGGCGCAGTGTAGTTTTAAATCCAGCCAAGGGTAAAGATGTGAAGAAGCTGGAATTAGATTCTACTCTGGATAAACAAATATGTTTAAAATACAGACTCGACTGAGCTTGCATAGCTCAATCAGGATCTCTTCACCTCCTAGGTGGTGCTCAGACATAGGTCAACGGAATTAACATAATATTTGCCAAAACTCAAATACTTCTAAATAACTATAGTGGCACTTGACCTTTGACAAATGTAATTACCATTTGGTTCATATGCCGAGATTGCACCCCACCGAGATTAGAGCCATCTATCTCCCTATTATTCCTCAGATTAAGGGATTATTTTTAAAGGATATTATTGATCTTGTTAATTAAAAGTGTTCATCCTTGTAGTTTTAATCAATTTTATTTATTAATTGTTTATTTATGAACAGGGGCCATGCTATCTCTGGAACCAATTCTGTTACCTCTACTTCTCAGACTGGCACCCCAGGCTGATGCTAGGCTCCGTGCTGAGCAACAGGCTCATCTAGTTCAGGCGCAGCAGTTTCATCATCACCACCCGGCCGCCTACACCTTCGGACATCCAAGTAGTCGAGTTGATCTTGTTCACCTCGACCCAACTAGTGGACTACTTTATCCTGCTGGCATTCCGCCTAACGGTAACATGGCTGCAGTTGCCTCTAACTACTACAGAGTCACCTAACCTCTTCTGCAAGCCAACATAACTTATTGACACACCGTCATACTGTGCTAATCGTGTCCTACTTTCTCGATTATTATTCCCCGGTCGAGTTTTTACTTCTAACAAATTATTGTAAAATGGACAGGATATCGGGCTGAATATTTTGAAGCCATGTTCACTAATCAGATTAGTGCTGCTAGATGTACTTAATCTGAACTTCGCTTGGCCATCAAACTCTGTTCCTACTTTCTCATCGTTCTGTTGAACAACATTTTTCTTGCTTTCTCACAAATATTTTCATAATTCATTTTCATTCATTATTCTTCTATATCTTCTCTTTATTTAGCAGTTTGAGGTCTTACGGATCATGCATCTTCATATAAACGCTCTCATTATTGCCTTACTTTTATCTCTGATATATTATTGTATTTTACTTCCTTGCCACCGCTTGGTCTGTGGGCTTTCCTTAGATGACCGTTGACTGAAGCTGAGGCCTGATCTTTTATTAGGGCCTGCTTGTGTGCTCAATTTTCATTAAACGAATTGACTGTTTAAAATGGATTTACTTACAGCATGATAGAGCTTCGCAGAGGCATAAGAGCCCTCTAACTCCATCATTTTTTTCTTAAACTATCCTGTATATGTTATTGTCGTGTCTATCCATTCTAATACGAA